ATGCCTGTGTGAAGTCAGACATGCATATGACTAAGATCAGACATGTAGTAGGAAGAGGGAGAGCAGCAGGAAAAACGAATGTGTGATCTGATCTATCAAAATAGTAACAGGCCCTCCTTTTCTTGAACCCCATGAAAGAAGTCCCCACACTGGAGTGCTCTGGTCCCTCAAAGCAACAGTAACAGACAAAAAGCCTTAACAACTAAACAAGATTGGAAGGAAAGCAGCTCCTGCCTCTCCCTTGTCCCTGGGCTTTGCCCCTCCACCCCCCAGTCACTGGGCTTGGCCCTCAGTGTCAGCTACAACTGCTGTTCTGCTTCCAACCCCGCTCACCCGGTGTTCCCTGTTTTTTCAGAGGCCTCTCCCCAAAAGGCTACAGGGCAGCTCATGTGGCAGAAGGCAACTGATGTTGGAGGAACAGCCCTTGGAGAGTGTCCAAACTAGAAGTCACAATCTCTTACAACTTTAATCTCAACAGTGCTAACCCACAGCACTAATCCACTTTGTGTCGCTGCAACAGAACACCAGATAATAGGCACTTTGTAAAGAAAAGAGGTTTATTTAAAAGCTCTGACTTAGCTGGACACGGCACACGCCTGCCCTTGGCTTTTAGGTAGTTCTGGGACAGCCAGGTCAACCTGAGACCCTGTCTCCAGACAACAAAACAAACAAAAAACGTCAGTCTGGAGTCTAAAAGTCCAAAATCTGATGTCCCCAAATCCCAACTTGGGCCTTCCTTCCTTAATGACCCAACACATCAGTGTCACCCACTAGAGACCAAGCCTCCAGGCCATGAACCTTTGGAGGACATATTCAAACTGCTGTGTCTGTCACCTCTGAGAGGAGGTCCTTCTGAGGAAGAAGGTGGCCCATGGTCCCACAGAGAAGTGATAACACAGACGGGACACTGAAGGGCAGAGGGGGCCCGGCACTCACAGCCCCTTTCCTGCTGTTTCATAGCTTGATGACATGCACCCATTTTTTGAACCCCTATTCTCTGTCATAGCAAAACTTTGCAAATTCCAAAACCATTGCCAATCTAATTGCACAATCCTCTCACAGAAACATGCCTGCTCCAGCTGTTTTCTCCTCAAACCTTCTGACAAGTACGTCGTGAAGAACTGCTGCTTGCCAGTGTCAACCCCCAGGAACCACTTGCAGCTGCTTCTCCAAGTGTCTGCTTTCCACTCACTGATTCAAGCTTAACACCTCACCCACATAATTTACTCCTTTTATCCAGTGCTGCCACCCATCTGTGCCTGGAGATATGATACAGGCAATGCAGCTGTCCTTGTATTGACCCCTCCCACAACTCTGTCAAAAGACCAACCCCTAAGACTGTCACCACCTACAGTATTCCTTTGTTCCATGAAAGTATGGGGCTAGCACGATAAAGTTCAGCATAGCTCAAGATGGGGATAAAAAACATTTAAAACTGAACGTTATTATCCATCAGTCTTTAAAACTCTGGGAACTAGTCAGCAATGTTTACTAAAGTGGTCTTTACTCAAGGTTATTAAGGTAGGGACATGAGAGACTGGAGAGATGGCTAGCAGTTAAGAACACTGGTTACTCTTCCAGAGGACCTGGGTTTGATTCCCAGCAACCACATGGTAGCTCACTGTCTGTAACCTAATTTCATGGGATCCAACACCCTCTTCTGGCCTCCATTGGCATAGGCACAAAAGCAATGTACAGACACAAATGCAGGCAAAATACCCCTACACATGAAATGAAACGCAGATTTAAAAGGTAACATGATAGGTGCATGAGCCTTCGGGCCATGGCTCAGTTGACACAGCACTTGCTTGCCTTGCACGCACAAAGTGCTGTTCCATCACCAGCTCTAAATCAAGCACAGTGGCGCAAGCCTGTAACTGGCTGAAGAATTAAAAGCCAGCTCGGTGGGAAGGAAAAGAAAGCCAGCATGTGTTGCATAAAGGTATTACTAACTCGTTCCATGGATTAACCAGGGCTATTTAAGGGCCCTCCTTAAAGTGGCTGGAATGTCAAGGAATGTGTCCAGAGTCTCTCAGCGATGCAAGGAATCTGGCTGGTTGGGGGAGAGGGAAGTCCTTAAATGTGACTTTATCACCTCAGCCTTGTCAGCAGCAATACAGTGGGAGACTGAGAGATCCATATCTTTCAGGGGAGACAACAGCCAGCATGGAGCTGGCTGACTGAGAGGTCCCTATCCTTCAGGGGCCTCTACTAGGGTAAAGCTGCATCCTTGAATTTGCCCCAGCCAACAACTTTGGGATCAGCCAGTATGAAGCAGGGCTGGAATTTATTAAAAAGAGATTTCTGCTGGGTACAGTGGTGCACACTTTTAATCCAAGCACTTAGGAAGCAGAGAGGCAGGTGCATCAAGGTCATTCTGATCTACATGCTAAGTTCTAGGCCAGCCTGAGGTACATAGTGAGACCCTGTCTCAATAAGATAAAGAAAGAATAGATTTCTAGTAAATTTAAGCACAAGATGCTGGAGAGATGGTCCAGTGATTAAGAGCACTTCTCTTAATCCAGGGAGGTTGGTACCTTCTATGTCTTCTATGGGTATTACATGACAGACACACCACACACACATATATAAAAACAAATGGCCAGGTGTGGTGGTGCACACCTTAAATCCCAGCACTTGAGGCAGAGGCAGACAGATCTCTGTGAGTTTGAGGCCAGCCTAGTCTATAGAGCAAGTTTCAGTACAGCCAGGGCAACATGGAGAAACCCTGTCTTGAAAAACAGGCGGTAGAAAGAGAGAGGCTCTAGGAGAAAGAGGGTGTAGGCTTTTCAAAGGAGAATCACGGGACGGTCTCAGCCATGGTTAATTATATGAACAAGGTTGGTGGCTCTAATGTTACATCTCAAAGGGTTGCCAAGAAACTCCTCCTCCCTTTAATGCTAAGTGAAATTATAGAGTGGCTTCAAAGGTACCTTGGTTAGGATTGTAATCTGATAAAATAAAATTATGGCTGGGTGTAGCAGGCTTTCTTAGACCGCTAGCCCCCAAATCGTGACACATAGACTTAATATTAGTTATGAATGCTCAGCCTTCTCTTATGTTTGTCCCACTATCTCTTATAACCTATTGTAACCTGTTTCTCTTCATCTACAGTTTGCCTTGGGGCTTTTACCTCTCTGTATGTCCTACTTCCACTGTGCTCTGTGTCTGTCCTAGCTGGCTGGCTGGCCTGCCTCCGTTATCTCTTTTCTCCCTCATTCTCTTCTCTCCTTCTACTTATTCTCTCTGCTTGCCAGCCGTGCCTAACCCTCTACTGCCTGGCTATGGGCCATTTGGTTTTTATTAGACAAATAAGGTACCTTAGGCAGGCAAGGTGAAACAGCAACACATCTTTACATAGTTAGACAAATGCAGCATAATCAAATGTAACACATCTTTGCCTAGTTAAAGCAATATTCCACAACATAAACAAATGTAACACATCTTTCCTAGTTAAAGCAATATTCCACAACAAACAAATTTAACACATCTTTACATAATTAAAGTAATATTCCACAACATAAACAAATGTAACACATCTTTCCTAGTTAAAGCAATATTCCATAACAAACAAATGTAACACATCTTTGCCTAGTTAAAGCAATATTCCACAACATAAACAAATTTAACACATCTTTACATAATTAAAGTAATATTCCACAACAACTGGGTCCCTGACCTGACTGAGAGAAAGTACTTGTCACCAGGCCTGACTGACTTTAATCCCCAGGACCCATGAGGTGGAAGGAGAAAACCAATTTCTGATAGCTAGCCTCTGGCTGCCATCACAGCGGTGTACATGTGTTCACCCATGCACACACAAAATCTCTCTCTAGGTAAGTGTGGGGCTGGAGAGGTGGCTCAGCCGTTAAGAGCACTGCTGCTCTTCTGGAAGAGCTAGATTCAGTTCCCAGCACCCACATGGTGGCTCATAACCATAAGTCCAGCTATATATACACTAATTATATATACACACAGGCAAACACTCAAAACAAAATGGAAATGAATAAATCTTAAAAAGAAAAACAATCCAAGGGCTTCACATGGAAGTTAATACCTTTCTTTCACTGTAAATGGGGTCTCTTTTGAGATTCCTAGGAACTTTTAGGTTCATAGCTGGGAAACATAAAAAAGTCATATACGCTTAGGCCTTAAGATGATTCACCACCATCTTAATGTTTTTATTCATACTCCCACAAAAAAGGAATATTATTTATATATAGGCAACCTTCACGTCATTAAATTTTGACTTATTATTGTGGTCATCGTGGGTGTATGGCATATGTGAGCATGGGTGGGCATGCTATGGTGTCTGTGGAGATGGATGGGCTTGCTATGGTGTCTGTGGAGCACGGGTGGGAGCTACAGCGCCTGTGGAGCACGGGTGGGCATTCTATAGTGCCTGTGTCTGTGGAGCATGAGTGGATGTGCTATGGTGGCTATGGAGCACAGGTGGGCATGCTATGGAGCCTGTGGAGCATGCATGGGAGTGCTATGGAGCCTGTGGAGCACAGGTGGGCGTGCTATGGAGCCTGTGGAGCATGCATGGGAGTGCTATCGTGTCTGTGGAGCATGCATGGGAGTGCTATCGTGTCTGTGGAGCATGGGTGGGCGTGCTATGGAGCCTGTGGCTGTGGGAAGATGCCATCTTCTGCAATTGGCCCTCCCCTTCCCAGTCAGGAGGGCATGCTTGCGAGGCAAGGGTCTTTACCTGCTGACCCACCTATGTGGTGTCTGTCAGAGCTCTAGTCTCTCACCTGCTGCTAGGCCGCTTCCAGCAGACACCATGGTAAGGCTTCTCTTCCCTTCCATGTCCCCTGCCTTTCTCTCCTGAGGTGCTGGTGATAAACGGCTTCAAAGCCGGTTTCAAAGCCGTGATGGCTCCGTGCCCAGCCCCGGCTTTCCCGTCTTCAGTCCCAACCCCTGCATGCTCTGCCTTCCCTCGGGATGCCTCTATCACCTCCCCGAGCTGGCAGCACCCGGAAGTCCTCCGGTAGGCAACAGGGCCCGGGGATCACCTTGCCAACTCTGCAGAGCCAGGCGGTGGTGTGTGGGGGAAACGACCAGCAGGCACTGCGCGTGCGTGGGCCTCAGGGGCCATCGCCATCTCGGCCGCCATCTTGGGGCCTGTGGGCACCATGGGGTCGTGGGCACTGAGAGCCGCGCTGCTGTGTCTGGGCGGTCCTCTTGTGTGCTCCCTCCCAGCGCAGAGACAGGCCACCACACAAGGGCTGGAGGCCAGGACCCCGGAAGAGGAACAGCCTGTCACGAAGGGCAGTATCTGGTCATGAGGCCCTGGCCGCCACAGCTCAGGGAGACTCGCCTCATCCCAAAGATACAGAACGAAGCTGCTCTCAGACCCTCGTTAGCGATGTCAGTGATAGCCCCAAAACACTCGGCACTCACCATTTCATAAACAAATGCATTACTGTTCGTGGCTCAAAGGGCTGTTAGGTGGCCTTTTCAGAATGCAGTTGAGGACAATTATTCAGCAGGCTGAATGGCAAGAATTATATAACTTGTGCCGCTGGACTTAATAAGTTGCAATTTTTATTTTATGCCAGAACTGAACCAGGAGCTTATTTATATACATGCTTCCTACCCACCCTTACCATCGAGCTATATATCTCAAGCCACTAAGTGTGACGCTTTATGTACGTACACACACACACACACACACACACATGCTCACTTTTCAACGTCTCACTATATAGTACAGGCTGACCTGGGTCTGGTGATCTTCCTGTCTGATCCTCATGAGTGCTGGGATTACAAGTGTATACTACCACCGGGAGGTGGTGGCGCTCGCCTTTAATCCTAGCACTCAGGAGGCAGAGGCAGGAGGATCTCTGAGTCTGAGCCAGCCTGGTCTACAGAGCGAGTTCCAGGACAGCCAGGGCTACACAGAGAAACCCTGTCTCCAAAACAAAACCCAGAAAAAAAAAACAAGTATATACTACCATGCTTGCTGACTCCTAGGTTCTCAGTCACTGCTTCACAAAGGAAAGAAATGGTATTTGGCCAGAGAAACTTATTTTTATGTTCTTGAGCAATAGAGTTATTAATAAATTATGTTGATTTTGTGACTTCCTAAGTAATCAAATATGGCATGTTTGTCTTAATTCATTTGCCATTCAAAATTTCAGTTTGCCTCAGATTTGGCTTGCTTCATCAGTGCCTAAAGAGGAAAAGGATATGTTAATGTATTCAGGTTAGGAAGTAACACAGAATGTGGGTGTTTATTCCAAATAACATATTGCTTTGTTTTTAGATTGTGGAATAGCACCACTTAAGGGTGTAATGGAAGGGTCTCGGATTATAGGAGGCACACCAGCATCCACTGGTGCCTGGCCATGGCTCGTTAGCCTGCAGATTCAAGATGGTGATTTTCTTGTGCATATCTGTGGTGGTGCCTTAGTGAGAGACAGGTGGGTCCTCACGGCCGCCCACTGCACTAAAGAGGCAAGGTATGTATTCACAGTGTGACTCCCGTTCTCGTAGGAAATAGTGACACGGTAGAGTGTCACAGGACTTTAGTTAAACATCACATCTACAGAGTAGTTATATGTAATTCCTTATTTATATGATACTGGATTTGCTGAAATGAATTCTTTAAATCACACATGGGCAACTTTTTCTGTGGATACTTTATAGGGTTTGCAGGCCATATAGTTTGTCACATTACTTAGTATGAAAATAACTATACATAAGTGGAAAATACATAATTAAATGACTGTTGCTATGGCCCTGTAAATCCATACATATAATTATGTATGTGAATGCATAAAACATATGTTTATGGGTTGCATAAAAACAAGACAGGTCAGACTTAATCTTTATTGTTTGAGCTCTGAAAGACTCTTGGGCCTCATTTGCACTGAGTCATAAAATCCCATTTTCATATGATTTCTATGACCCAAACATAATTTCAAAGACTAACTCCATGCCCAATCCAATAACTTCCTAGTTTCCATCCTAGTGACCCTATGGTATAGGACAATTATGACGGACTTTTCTCAAGGGTCTCTTTTCTAAAACATTTTTATACCTACAGAGTGTTTTATCTGTGTGTATGTTTTAGTACCATGTGTGTCCATGGTGCCCAAACTGGTCAGAGAGGGCACCAGATCCCGTTACTGGAATTACAGATGCTTGTGAGCCAGTATGAGGACACTAGAAGCAGCACCTGGGTCACCTGCAGGCACAGTGACACTCTTTACCCCGGAGCTGCCTCTCTAGCTCACAGGCATCTCGTATAAGACACTAGTGAGCCGGGGTGGTGGGGGAAGCTGTTTTTTTTTTCTGTTCTTTTCCCTCTTTCTACTAAATGAATTCCTCATAACACTAGCTTATCCATGATCCTTTACAACCCTTCATTCTATATACTAATCTTTCATTTTTAATCCTATTGCTAAGTGGTTCTCTCATCAACTTCTATGATGAATTATCTCATTGACCCTACCTAGCCAATTCTAGGTGAAGTAATACTCCCCAGTTTATTAATGGCCAAGTATCCACCCCTGTCTGACAGAAATGTGGGTAAACAGTTTGGGTCATGTATTGGATGGGGTCACCTTGAGGGTATAATGTGGGCAGATCAGATTTCCTGATAGATATATCACATATAATCATCAGTGTATTCTTCTAGCAAAAGGGAGAGTATCCTTGTTGTTTTTCTGATACTGGAGGCTGAATCTAAGGCCTTACTAATGCCAGGTGAGTGTTCCAATGCTGAACCACAATCTCTAGCCATGTATATGACCCTGAAAAGTGCCTGTGTGGTGGGATGGCATTGGTGTCTGTCACAGGGCAGAACCACAGGGCTTTTCCTACGATTCCAGTTTTCATTTTGCCAGAAATGACCATTGTAGGTGGAGTTTTCCTGTGCCACAGCTGTTTCCCAATTAACCAATATGGAGACTCAATATTAATTGCAAATGCTTGGGTGATAGCTCGGGCTTGTTACTGGCTAACTTTTTTTTTTTTGGTTTTTCGAGACAGGGTTTCTCTGTGGCTTTGGAGGCTGTCCTGGAACTAGCTCTTGTAGACCAGGCTGGCCTCGAACTCACAGAGATCCATCTGCCTCTGCCTCCCGAGTGCTGGGATTAAAGGCATGCGCCACCAACGCCCGGCTTACTGGCTAACTCTTACACTTAAATTAACACACATTTCTTAGCTGTGCTTTGACATGTGGCTCCGTACCTTTTTTCAGTATGGTGTGCCCATCTTGCTCTCTCTGCATCTCCCAGTAACTCCCTCTCTGCCCCTCTTCATCCCAGTATCCTCAGGTTGATTGTCCTAACTTTATCCTGCCTTGATATAAGCCAATTAGCTTCTTTACTAACCAATGAGAGTGATACATATTTACAGTGTACAGAAGGATTATTCCACGTCAGACCATTGGGATTTGGTTTTCTTTTCTGTCATTTCTCATTTATCTAATTATTTTCTTTTATAGTTAGGGCATACTTTCATGCCTCTGGGCATGCCTGAGAGAGATTATCTGAAGTAGATTAATTGAGCTGGGACCAACCCTAACTGAAGGAGACTTAGACTGAATAAAAAAGAAAACGAGAGCTAGGCACTAGAATTTATCACCTCTGGCCGCCCCACCTTATGCATGCTAAGCCTGGACCCTGCAGAGCTGAACTCCTCGCCTTGTTTTCCAGTTCTTTGGAGGCAAATCCCAGATCTATCACCTCCCTGTCTCTTGAAGACACAACTCTTTAGAGAGTTCTAAGTTTTTAATCTGTGTGGGGTTTACTTTGGTGGTTTGCGTCATTTTAGGGATTTCATTTTCTTTTCTTTCCAAACAGCTAGGTGTCTCCAACACCATGTGTCAAGTAGTTCAGACTTCCGTTTGCTAGTAAGAGACACTGTCCTAATCGGCCATGAAGTTCTCCTGTTCCGGAATCTAAGTTTCTTTCTCCCCTCTGCTGCATCATGACATTTGGGCTTTTATCTTATACTTTATGTCACATGAAAAAATCACTTAAAACTTGGTTGCCAGTCTAATATAAAAAACTCCAATCTAGTGGAAAATCAAGAACAGAGTTTAAGTGAACCTGCCTGTAATAAGAATATATGCTTCTTTTCAGTGACCCTTTCAAGTGGAGAGCAGTGATCGGAGCCAATGACCTCTCCCGGAGGCACACCCACATCAGGAATATACGGGTAGTAGGCATCGTCATTCAGCCAGACTTCATTCTGGAAACTTTCGTAAATGATATCGCACTGTTCCGTTTAAAGAAAGCCGTGAGGTATAATGACTATATTCAGCCTATTTGTCTACCTTTTGGTGTTTTCCAAAAACTGGACCAAAACACAACGTGTTTTGTAAGTGGCTGGGGAAGAACCAAAGAAGAAGGTAATTATAGTCTAAATTCAACTGATACAAACACACCTTCCTGATTATTGGCAGAGGGAATCCGCTTACATGTTAATATCCCTGTGTGTATTTCTTTCAAATGATTGATTGATTAGTTGACTAATTAGTTTATTATGCTAGGAATCAAATTCAATGCTTTGAATAAGCTAGATAAGCAGTTTTATTCTTGCCCCATTTATGAAAAATTTTTACTTTTATTTATTTTTTATTTTTACAGACAGGGTTTCTCTGTGTAGCTTTGGAGCCTGTACTGCAACTCCCTCTTATAGATCAGGCTGGTCTCGAACTCACAGAGATATGCCTGCCTCTACTTCCCAAGTGCTGAGATTAAAGGCATGTGCCATCACTGGCCAGCCAGAATTTATTTATTTATTCTTACCTTTTTGTCCAAAAGCTAAAAACTGAGTTTTATAAACTGTGGGAAAGAAAAGTTTTACTTTGTTTTTTCCCCATTATGGGAGAGAAGTTGGTTACAAACACCAAAAATCCTTCAACTCATAGCAGACATTAGGGTGACAGCTTGCTGTTTCTGCAGCCCAGCACTCAGAGTTGACATGAGAACTATGGCAGAAATGCCCGCCTTCAATCCCAAGTTTGGGATGCCCAGGACTATTTAGTTTCCTTTTCATTTAACGCCCTGTGCAGGATCAGGCAGGAGGCTGTGTGTGGTCGTCTCTCACACAGTCACTGACTGTTGAGCCATAGGCTTGACAGGGAGGACAGAAAAGGCTTCTGGAGGGAGCATGTTAGTGTCTCAGGCTCCTGCCCCCTCAGTAGCCCTTTGAAAATGCTGCTGCTGTCATTCTCTGTGATGGGCCAGGAGTTTCTAATGTTGTGATAAGTCCCACGACCAAAAGCAGTGTGGGGAGGAAAGGCTTTCTTTTTGGCTTGTGTTTCCCCATTATAGTCTATTAGGAAGAAAGGCAGGCAGGCGGCAACCATGAAGGAAGGCCGCTCGCTGGCTTGCGTCCATGGTTTCCTCAGCCCACCTTTTCTGTTTGATTCTTTTGTTTGAGGCAGGGTCTCTCTACAAAGCCCTCAAAGCCCTACCTGTCCTGGAACTATGTAGATCAGGCTGACTTTGAACTCACAGAAATTTACCTGCCTCTGCCTCCCAAGCACTGGCAACCATATCTACGCAGTGCCAGTGCTGAAAGGTGGCACCATCCACAGTGGGCAGGCCTTCCCACACCAGTCAGTAATCAAGAAAGTGCCTAGTCTTACCCACAGGCCAGTCTGATGCAGGGAACTCCTTCCCGGGTGGGTCAGGCTTGTGTCACAGTGATAAAGCCAGCACAGAGACCACGGGTGTTAAGAACTGAGACTTTATGGAAACAGTGGTCTGCATGTATAATCCCAGAACTCGGTTAGGGGAGAGGGAAGGAGGATCAGAAATTCCGGGTCATCGTCAGCTACGTGTGGGATGAACTCAAGGCCAGCCTCAGCTACATGAAATCTTGTCTCAACCTTTAATACCTCCCTGCCCCCGTTATTCCTCCTGCTCCACCATCCTTTACAGAGCAGCAGCCAGGACTCAGATGGAACTCTTCCTGATCTGAAGCCTAGTCAGCCTTTGCCTAGCCGACTGACCTGTTCTGAGAGCATCACAGACCAGTTTGGAGCATATGAGATCAAGCATGGAGATTTGTTTTCCATTGCATGTGGGCCCGACAAGTATGGATTTTTTTTTTTAAAGACAGTCTCAGGTAGCCTAGACTGGCCTTGAACTCACCATGTTGTCAAAGATGACTTTTATGTTGAACAGTGGTGGTGCATGCCTTTAATCCCAGCAGTTGGAAGACAGAGGCAGGTGGATACAGTTCAGATAAAACTGGTGTTCCAGAATAGTATACCACAATCACACCTGAGCTTTCCCACTGAGGACTACCCAACAGGAAGGATACATACGGCAGGAATGGAACATGCAAAATAGGCAAGATGGCTCAAATGAATGGTAAAGGGACTTGCTAAGTAGGCCTTATGACCCGAGTTTAAGGAGAGAACTGATTTCACCAAGTTGTCCTCTGACCTCCACACATGCATCATAGCATGCACACGCCCACCCCCACAATTAACAAGAAAACTTAATATGGAGCGTGGAGACAGGAACCTGGGGAGGGAACCTGAGCACAAGGGGAGGGAATTGGAGCACGAAGGTAATGCTAATCTTGAGAGTGCTTGCCAAACCTAACAGAGTACTGATTCTTGATTTGAGTGGCTTTATGGACCTTGAGGAAAACAAAGAGTCCACTGAGCCAGGACATGAATAGTACTCCATCTTATAGCCCCGGAAACTATATGGCCATGTGAGAAACAACGGGAAAGACATGATAACAGTAGCTTAAAAATGAAACAATCTAGGGCCTAGGGAGATAGCCTAGTGGTTGAGAGCACTGGCTGGTCTTTCAGAGGACCCAGATTCAAGTCCCACCACCCACATGGCAGCTCACAGCTGTCTCTAACTCCAGTTTCCAAGGAATCTGATGCCCTCTCTGGCCTGCATGGGCACTGTGTGCTCATGGTGCACAGACATATATGCAGGTAAAACACACATCTGTGTAAAATAATAATAAAAATAAAATAAATTTATAATGGAAAAGCAAGCAGGAATTGTTACATTAATATTATAAAGTAGACCAGATAAAGTAAATTATCAGAATGCTGAGGAATATTGGATAATAAGAAAAGGTTCAATCCACCAGAAGAAGTAGCAACTGTAAATACACAGCCCCAAAGAAAGAAGGTTTCTCTACTGTGACAGGATCTCACTCTGAAGCCCAAGCTAGCAGTATTCAGTCATCCTAGCCCAGCCTCTCATTGCTGAGGCGACAGCTTGTGTCACAGCACTCAGTAACGAGTGTAATCCTGTCCTATAAACAAAACAAGAGCCAGGCAGTGGTGGTGCACACCTTCAGTCCCAGCACTCGGGAGGAAGAGGTAGGCTCATCTCTGAGTTCCAGGCCAGTCTGGTCTACAGAGTGAGTTCCAGGACTGCCAGGATTACACAGAGACCCTGTCTCAAAAACAACAGAGAGAGAGGAAAAAAGGGAAGGAGGGAGGGAGGGAGGGAGGGAGGGAGAAAGAAAGCCAAATGCCCACAGCACTATACCCACAGAGGTGCACTAGAGTTTCACTTGTGGGGTCAGCAAGATGGCTCAGTGGGAAATGGGGCTTGCCTTCAAGGCTAATGATCTGAGTTTGATCTCTAGGATCTGCTCAGTAGAGAAGACTGACTCTGTATGTAAGCACACGTGCACATGCACACACAATGACAACTTTGATGTTGTATTTTAGTTGCATGAAATCATAGCAGAAGACTACATAAGGAGTACCGTGGACCTCTACCTTTGTATAATATGCAGCTCACTTTAGCTACAATCAGCCACAAAATCACTGGGAAATAGAAAACCTGCCAAATGGGATAATGAGGTATAATGATGACTACCACTCCCCTGGATTTGCAGTCGGAATCATACCAAGTCTGCAAAGACGCAGACTCAAACTGAGAATTTAGACAACGTGGAGCTGTCTGTCTGGCACCAGATCAAGTGCATGCCATGTTTATAAGCCTCCAGTTTTAGCCAAGGCTTCAGTGCATTGCTTCACAGAGGTTAAGGAAAATGAATGGATTACTATTCTGGTGGTTTTGTTTTTTCTTTTTCTTTTTTTAATCATTAAAACTTAGGGAGACTCAGCAGAAAAAGACCTTAAAAAGTTCAGATACCATAGTCAACAGGAAACATTCAAGAGAGGAGAAAGGAACCCTGAAGACAGCAATACTGGAGCCAAGGGAGGAAGAAACAGCCGTGGTGTAGCCACTGGTCAGGTGTCCGTGTGAACAACCCACAGAACTCATTAGCTTACAAAAGAAAGACATAAAAGTGGATATGGGGGATAAGGGCAGGGGATGGGGGAGAGGGAGACAAAGCAGGGTAATGGGGTGAATATGATCAAAATATATACATGTATAACACGGCACTACGTAGCCCCACTATTATATGATAATAATACATGGAAATACCATCAATAAGGCTGGTCAGATGGCAGCTGCTAAAGGCGCCTGTCATGAACCGATTCCCACAGTTGTCCTCTAACCCTGAAATGTGTGCTAGGACACACATGCACACACTAAATAATCATAATACAAACTTATATTAAATAATAATTGACATAACTCCTCCCTCCCCCAAAAAATGCAAAAATAAGGAGCAGGAGATGTAGTTGAGTGGCAGAGGGTTAACAGTACTTTTGGAGGAAGGGAGGGATGGAGACGCACAAAGATCACCAAATAAGTAAATCAACATTATTCATAACAAAACAAATAGAAATAGCAAATAATAGATTAAATGCCTAAGGACTTCATATAGTATTAATATTTAGGTATAGAATATAAACATATTTTAGTTCTTTGAAGGAAGAAAAAAGTAGAGTTATAATTTAGTAGATGATTAAATGACCAGACGTTTTCAATGACAGCCAAATAAACTCCTTAAAAATAAAAACGGTAACAACATTATTTGGCACTAGCTGGATAAGGAAGAAAGGTGTGGAAGATGCCGCTGAAGGACCTGCCAAGCCAGCAGAGCAGGAAGGATATGACTGAAGGGGAAGAAGACTGCGATGAAGGCTGGACATAACCCACACCTGTCATCCCAGCACTCAGAGGGTGAAGACAGGAAGGTTAGCGTTCAAGGCTAGCCTCAGCTACACAGTTTGGGACCAGCCTGAGCTATATGAGTTCTTCTCTTTAAAAATGGTGATGGTGGATGCAAATGAATAAAAGAACACTTAGAAAAAAGTAAACCTAGGGCTGGGAAGATGGCTCAGTGTGTAAGAGCAGTTGCTGTGCAAGCATGAGGACCTGAGTTCAAATCCCCGGTATCCATAAGGTAAAGAGGACAAAGCTAGGGAGCACTGAGGGCGTCTTCAGCCCCTCCCTGTCTTAAAAAGCCTCTGAATCCAATGGGTTGAACCCCTCCTCTCTCGTGTGCACATGCTAACCCACACACATGCCAGATGCCTGTAAACCCAATGCTGTTTGAGGCTGAAAGGAGTAAGGTGGAGAGCAATAGATAAGGACCCCAGTGTCCTCCTCTGGCCACTGCACAGAGACGGGCATGTGCACTGCCCCTGTTCTAACTTTGGCTTATGTTTTGCTTTGTTTTTAGAGTAAATATGATATATAAATTTGTCAAAATTTAAAATGTATGCTCTTAGGTGACTTGGGTTAAGAGCACTTAATCTCTTGCAGAGGACCTGGTTCAAGTCCCAGAACTCACATGTTGGTTCACAGCTGAGTTCCAGGGGATTCATTGTCCTCTTGTGACCTCCATAGGTACCAGGTACACATGTGGTGCACATTCACACGCACATCCAGGCAAACCTCCATACACATAAAAATGAGTCTTTAATATGTATGCTCTCCCAAAGACACATCCACAAGAATGGAAAAGATAATCTTTCAACTCAAAGAGAAAAACATTTGATACAGAAATCCTCTGAGAGGTATTACTGAGCTAGGCTACGTTGGCTCACGCCTTTAATCCCAGCACTCAGGAGGCAAAGGTAGGCAGATTTCTGTGAGTTCGAGGCCAGCCTGGTCTACAGAGTGAGTTCCAGGACAGCCAGAGCTACACAGAGAAACTCTGTCCTGAAAAACAACAAACAAAAACCCAAAACTTGTATGACTCAGTACTGGGTTGTGAGTTCGCTGACAATTTGCAAAGATACCTTATCAAAGTAGGCATACAGATGGCCAATACTAGGTGAAAAGATAGAGACATCACCGATACCACAGTGAGAAGTCACCACACATCTTCTAAAATGGTCACAACCCGAAAGATGGACAATACCGAGTCTTGGCAAGGATCTGGAGAAACTGGAACTGAGGCATGATGGGGGATGTAAATAGTGAAAATATGTAAGCAGTTTCTTTTTGTTTGTAAAATAAGAGTCTCCCAGGCCAGACTGACACTTGCTATGTAGACCAGACTGACTTCAGACTCACAGCAATCCCCCTGCCTTGGTTCCTCAAGTACTGAGATTACAGAACTGTGCCATCACATCTAGCTTTGACAGTTTCTTCAAAATTTTCACATTGAACTCAGCTACTGTATAAGCCACTCTTTTTAAAAATATTTATTATATACAGTATTCTGTCTGCTTGTATCCCTGCAGGCCAGAAGAGGGCACCAGATCTCATTACAGATGGTTGTAAGCCATCATGTGGCTGCTGGGAATTGAACTCTGGACCTCTGGAAGAGCAGCCAGTGCTCTTAACCTCTGAGCTGTCTCTCCAGCCCTATATGAGCCACTCTTAGGCATCTATCAGATGAGAAACTGCCACAGAAATTCTCATGACAGCATCATTAAGAAACCTAAGGCAGCCGGGCGGTGGTGGCGCACGCCTTTAATCCCAGCACTCGAGAGGCAGAGGCAGGCGGATCTCTGTGCGTTCGAGGCCAGGCTGGACCGATAGCCTCTGAAACAATACAGAGAAACCCTGTCTCGTAAAAAAAAAAAAAAAAAAAAAAAAAGAAACCTAAGGCAGCCAAATCTCTATGAGTTTGAGACCAGCCTGGTCTACAGAGCAAGTTCCAGGACAACCTCCAAAGCCACAGAGAAACCCTGTCTCGAAAAATAAAAAATAAACCCCTAAGTGGAAGCAACCTAAATGCCCAGCAAATAGTGACATGCTGTATATTCCACTGAGTGAGCACTTGTCTAGAATAAAGTCATGGGCTATTGAATCGTCTACACTAAGCAGGTTCTAAATCCATCGGCACAGTATGGGGTGTAGCTCAGTTGATGGAAGTTTGCCTGGCATGCACAAAGCCCTCGGTTCAAATGCCAGCTCTGAATAAACTGTGGGTAAGGATGCAGGCCTGTGGTCCTAGTGCTGGAGAGGCAGAACCAGGGGAATCAGAAGTTCAAGACTATCCTTGGCTACATACAAGGCCAGATTGGAATACAAGAGATCCTGTGTAAAGAACAAAACCAACAAAAACCAGGGTTTTGCAAGCTCTCCTCAGCTCATTAGCCCAGGTCCTTTTCTTAATGAGCTGTCAGTCTGGTCCATGCCTGATTTAGCAAGCATGAATTTTCTTTCATCCCTCTTGCTGCTGCCACCACCTGAATTTTAGCTAACCTGTTATGATTTTTCTCTTAAATGCTGATAAAATTCTCCTTAAGATGCTTTTGATAAATACAAAACCCAGTGCTAAGATACTGGCTGTTCTTCCAGAGGACCTGGTTTGGTTCCCAGTGTCCACATGGTGGCTCACAACTGTAACTCTAATTCAAAGTACCTAATCCCTCTTCTGGTCTCCTTAGGTAGTAATGCACATGATATGTATGTATGTATGTATACACACACACATGCGTGCAGGCAAAAATCCATATGCATAAAATTTGAAAATCACTAAAACATTTAAAACACAATAAATAATTGGAATGAACAGTTTAGTAAAGTGACCAGGTATAAGACCAATATATAATATGCAAACATGTTTCAGTACTAGCAAAAATTAAGAGAATTTAATTTTAAAAGTCAGTGACTTGGAATGTATCTCAGGGAGAGAGCATGTCCTAGCATGAATCAGGCCCTGGACTAGATCCTAGCACACACACAAAAAATATGTAAATAAAAGTTAATTCAATGCCTCACATGGATTGATGATAGTGAAATGTCGGGAAATAAGCACCAAGGAGGAGCTGAAGAAATTGCAGCCCTGCTGCATTGCTCCTGGGACTATAAAATGGGGAAGCTGCTTTGGAATGCAGTTTGGGAGTTCCTCAAAATTGATCCAACTTCATGGTGTGCGCTAGAAAGAGTTGAATGTGCATGTCCACACAGGAACCTGTCGGTAAACAATTATAGCAGCTTTAGAACAGCAAAAAGATGTGAGATACCGCAGAGGCCCAACAACTCATGACTGAGTAAACCAAACACAGCACAGCCATTGATTTTAATTTAGTTTTGAAATAGTCTCACAATGTAGTTCTAGAACTTTCTCTGTAGACCAGGCTGGCCTTGAACTCAGAAATCTGCCTACTTCAGCCTCTAAAATTCTGGGATTAAAGGTGTGTGCCATTATACCCAGCATCTATTTCCTAGTTTTTGTTTGTTTGTTTTTTTTGTTTTTTACGAGACAGGGTTTCTCTGTATTGTTTTGGAGGCTCCTAGTTTTTTTAAATTTGTTTTTGTTGTTATTTTTCAAGACAGGTTTCTCTGTGAAACAGTTCTGGACGCCCTGGAACTCACTCTGTAGATCAGGCTGGCCTCGAACTCACAGAGATCTTCCTGTGTCTGCCTGCTGGGATTATAGGTGTGCGCCACCACCACCCAGCTATTTTCTTGTTTTTTAAGGGCATGCACTACCATGCCTAGCTTATTATTTTTATTTTATTTTATTGTTGTTTTGAGACAGGGTCTCTCCATATATCCCTGGCTGTTCTGCAACTTACTATGCAAACCAGGCTGGCTTGGAACTTACAGAAGTCTGCCTGCCTCTGCCTCCTGAGTACTGGAACAAAAGTGTGTGCCACTGTAGCCAGCATTCATTTATTTTTAATTTATGTGTGTGTATGCATGTGTGTGCAGTGCCCCAGGAGACCAAAGAGATTGTCAAGTCCCCTGGAGCTGGTATTACAGGAGGTTGGGAACCATCTGATTATGGGCGTGGGAATCAAACTCGGGTCCTCTGCAAGAGCCATCTCTCCAACCTTATTGGATTTTTAGTAGTTTCAGGTAATGTAAACTACACAAAGGGGTGGAATACTGGCACATAAATAAATAAACATTATCCTAAGCAGAATGAGCCAGACAGAAAGTGCAGTATAGTCCACAGCCCCATTTATAAGTAAAAGGCTTCAAATGGGCAAGCCATGGACAAAGCAGATGAGTGGCTGCAAGCACCCAGGGGCATTGGAGAAAACAAGCCTTGATTCAGTGATAGAGAGATAACATGTAATGTAACCAGCAACCAGTCCATTTAGTAAGGAAACCAGTGAGGTCTCATTAAATGCTCACGCTTTAATTTTTTATGACTTATTTTTAAAGACAAGAGCTCACGTAGCCCAGGCTGGCCTTAAACTCACTGTGTGGCTGAGGATGACCTTGAGCTTCTGACCCTGCTTCTCCCTCCTGTGTGCTGGGATCACAGGCATGTATCACCACTCGTGGCTTAGCTTAGGCAGTGTTGGGGGCCCCAACCCAGGACTTTGTGTGCACTTGCAAACACTACACCAAGTGACCTACACACCACTGTCACTTTTTTTTTTTTTTTTTTTTTTTGGTTTTTACGAGACAGGGTTTCTCTGTATTGTTTTGGAGGCTGTCGGACCGGACCGGCCTCGAACTCACAGAGATCCGCCTGCCTCTGCCTCCCGAGTGCTGGGATTAAAGGCGTGCGCCACCATCGCCCGACTCACTGCCACTGTTTTTATTCTTTGAGTCTAAATCTCACTCTGTGGCACAGGCTAGCCTTGAACCAGTAGTAATCCTCCTGCCTCAGCCTCCTGACTGCTAAAATTACATCTGTGAGTCACCACACTTGTACTAAACACCAACATTTAAATCATTGTAAAAATGCCTGGAGTTATTAAGCTTTGTTCTGTCTGCTGCTGACAGGCAATGGTACAAACATCCTACAAGAAGCGAAAGTGCACTTCATTTCTCGAGAGATCTGTAACTCTGAACGGAGCTATGGAGGAGTGGTTCCTAACACTTCATTCTGTGCAGGTCATGAAAATGGGACCTATGACACGTGCAGGGTAAGACCAATACTTCCCCTTTGAGAGAGAGGTCTTCTAAAGAGGCCTTAATCATCAGGCTAATACAAAATCCTTCTCTTTTTTTCCTACTCCAACAATCCAAACCTTGCATGAAGTTTCCTAGTTCTTATCCCCATCAGTTCAAACACAGGCAAAATCTGCCTTGACTCTGTCCTCCTCTCGTTTTAAAATTTGTCTATTGTGTCTTTGTGTCTTCCTGAATGTCTTTTTTTCCCTGTACTGTGTGTGTGCCTAGTGCCCGAGGAGGTCCGAAGAGGGCATCAGATTCCCTGGAACTGGAGTTACAGACAGTCGTGAGCTTCCATGTGGGTGCTGGGAACTGAATCCTGGTCCTCTGGAAGAGCAGCCAGTGCTGTTAACCACGGAGCCATGTCTCCATTTTCTTGCTTTTTAAAAAATTATCAACCAGAACCATTTTCTTTTTTTATTGTCACCCAGAACCATAATGCACCCACACACCCACTTGCAGTATATAACCCAGCAGATTTTTTTTAGAAGTGTGCCACCATCACCTCAGGTCCAACTTCAGGACTTCTTTGTCATCACTAAAAGAAACCTTCCCCACTAAGAATCATGTGTCAGGGCTGGAGAGATGGCTCAGTAAAGTGCTTGCTGTGAAAGCGTGAGGTTGTGAGGTAGAGCCTCAGAACTCACTCTGTAGACCAGGCTGGTCTCAATCTTAGAGAGATCCGCCTGCCTCTGCCTCATGAGTGCTGGGATTAAAGGCGTGCACCACCAACGGCCTGGTGTTTCCTCTGTTCTTTTCCTTAAAAATCTTTATCAATGAAACAATGAAACATTTGGTTTAAATGAATTGCATTCCCTGACACATCCTCACCAAAAACAATGATTTCAATATCATTCAATGGCTGCCTAGTATAAAGAACTGTCCACACTCAGAGCCAGGCTTTAGCCTGTGGACACTGAAATGGTGGCCTTCGCATTCTTCCTGCTTTGAGGACATTACTAGTGATCATGACAAGCACTTTTGGGTGCACTGATGGTCTTGTATAAACACTGAGGGGCTGGTTGGTCATGACATACTTGACAGTCCTCCCTGCACCCCTTCCTTCCTGCAGTAGCCCATCTCAACCCTTGACATGCCATCCCTTGTGGACGGCAATGTGTTCTCTAGGTAGCTAATGGCACACACTCTTCTCACACCTCTGTCTGAGTTGGACATTAGACTGACTGTGTCCTGATTTCCCAAAGCATTCTATTAACATGTTAGGGGTATCTTAGTAATGTGTGTGGCCTGGGGGCTGTCCCAGCAAAGCACCAGCTCCCTGCCCTTCCCCGCACCACATCCTGATGTGAAGCAGTCAACTGCTGCCTGAAAGAAAACCTGTGCTGTCCTTGGAGTATACCGAGAAGGAATTTTCACAGGAAAAGGTGGCCTAACTACTAGGTTGTCTCAGTGTAAGAAATGATAAACACATCTTGGATTTTTAACAGGGTGACAGCGGTGGACCACTCATGTGCTATTTACCAGAACACAAACGATACTTTGTGATGGGAATCACCAGTTACGGACATGGCTGTGGGCGGAGACATTTCCCCGGCGTCTACAGTAGTCCGTCCTTCTTCCAGCAGTGGCTCACCGATTATCTGTCACAGGGAAGTACTATTCGAGTGTTTAATGTGGACATGGTGCGGCGTCAGGTCCTTACGGTCCTAGGCGCCATCATCCTTCTAGGAGTTACATAAAGAGACACTGAAGGCTGCGCCTGTCATTCTGTCCCTTGCTGTGTTCAGCACAAAAAGATGGTTCTTTTCATCTCTCTTTAGGGGTCTCATGTCAACATTGTTTTTTTGAACAAAAAGGATTGTGACAGATACAGTTGTGAATTTCAGCACCAAATCACATACAGACTTCCTAGAACCTGATTGTTTTGTTGTTAAATCACAATTCTGTATTTGGAATACTCTCCTAGAGTTTGTATGAATTATTCAGTTCACTGTGTGCTTTATGTGTATAAATGCCAATAAACAGTTCACAATTTAACTGAAAATGTTTTTGTTAAACTAATCAGAACGCATTTTAAGTTGGATTTTATCTGACTTCCTTGTCAGTTTGGCTGTGGTGGCAGAGAGACGTCCCCGTCACTTGGCTCCACTGTTTCTGGGCCTGGGCTCAGACAAATGTGATGATGGCAAGAGATACTAAGCAAAGCTGTTCCCTCATGACAGCCAGGAGCAACAGGGGCTGAGGCAATGTATCCATGAACTACAGACATCTAAAAATCATTTTTGTAGTATTTTGAGATAAGGAGTCACTGTGTAGCTCAGGCTAGTCTCAAGTTTTAGATTCTCCTGCCTCAGCCTCCTGGGTGCAAGGATTTCAGGTATGAGCCACTGCTTCTGGCTAAATATTTGTAAAGTGCATAACAATAGAAAGGAAAATTTCCATAGCCCTATCTAAGATGGTGACCAGGAAATCCTATCTTTTCATTATTTAATGCCAACTATTCTGATAGCTTCCCAATTATTCAATAGTTAGAAAAAACAGTGCCATAATTATCCACAATACTTTATTTTTATTCCCTCACACTAAAATCATGTTCTCAGATTCTCCCTACACACACACACACACACACACACACACATACACACTTGACTAAATACTTCCCAAATTTGGGGAGTAAAATGGCTGTCCAGATTCATGAAGCCCATAAGTCCAACAAGTTGACCCAAAGGACACCAAGGCACAATTAAATTGTCTACAGTCAAAGAGAAAGTTTCAAAAGCTAAAAGGAAAAAGTCTGTGTTAGACTGTTGGCATGTTCCTCAGCAGCCATCCTGAAGTGAAGAAAAGAATGGAACATTTTGAAAATCTTGAAAGAAGAAAACCAAGCCACAACAACAACAGAAACACAGGACCCCTAGACCCAGCAGAGTGGGACATCAGAACGACAAGACTGGAGAGCAGGTCAGTGGAAAACTGCTTGCTTGGCATGTGTGGCCCTGGGTCCAGTCTCCACCATGAAGGGGGGGAGGTAGGGGAAGAGAAAGGAGAATAAAGACAAAATACAGGCATTTCCAAATAAGCGCAAGCCTAGTGAGCTCACCACCATCCTTGCCTGTGAGACATGCTATAAGCAATTCAAGCTTAGGAAAAAATGTTTATTATTACCACAAATTACACAATGTACAAACTCACAGGAAAAGATTAAGTACACAGACAAATCCAGGATCCTGGAATTTCACATCACAAACAAATCAACTTCAATTGGTATAAAATTACTGCAGCTGCACATAGTGGCCCATACCTCTAATCCCAGCACTTGAGAGGCTGAGGCAGGAGGCTTGGGAATAGAAGACTTATCTGGCTATGTAGCAAAACTCGGTCTCAAAAATAAGCAAATGGAGCCGGGCGGTGGTGGCGCACGCCTTTAATCCCAGCACTCGGGAGGCAGAGGCAGGTGGATCTCTGTGAGTTCGAGGCCAGCCTGGTCTACAAAGTGAGTTCCAGGACAGCCTCCAAAGCTACAGAGAAACCCTGTCTCAAAAAAACCAAAAAAAAAAAAAAAACAAAAAAAAAAAAAAAGCAAATGACTAGGGATAATTATCTACAATAATGCATCACACAATGTGTTGTCATTGTTGAGATGGGGCCTTATGGACCCCAGGCTGGCCTTGAACTGATGATCCTCCTGCCTCAATCTCCCGACTACAGGCATTGTATCTTAAAAATATAAACCATTATATTAATACTCTAACATATAAGTAAAGGTATGGATTAAAAATATAATGGTTTTTGTATTTTAAGTTAGAATTTAGAGCTTTAAAATGCTTCATTGTCCACATCATGGTTTTATTTGGTTGGTTGGTTGGTTTTTTGAGGCAGGGTTTCTCTGTGTAGCCCTGGTTGTCCTGGAACTCGCCCTGTAGACCTGGCTGGTCTTGAACTCACAGAGATCTGCCTGCCTCTGCCTCCAGAATGCTGGGATTAAAGGCTGCCACCTGGCTGCACATCATTGTTTTACTAAAAAAATAATAAAAATCTTGTACCAGAGAGCCAGTGAGATGGCTCAGCAGGTAAAGACTATGACAACCTGACTGTGATCCCTGCATGCACACACACACACACACACACACACACACACACACACAAACACACACACGGGGAAGGAGACAGACTCCTACAGTTGTCCTCTAAGCTCTACACATGTACTCTGACACTCATGCATACTCTACACACTACACATACATTCCCCCCCCCCAATAAAATGTAATTTTACAAAGCAAAACCTATAGAAGAGTACAAAGCAAAGAATCAAAGCAAACTGCTGTGGAGTTTTCAGTGTCAGAGCCTGGGCCTGCAGCCCTCCTAAGTGAGGCTAGCTAAGAGATGCCATAGTGAAAATAGAGGAAGGAAATGCAGGTAGGTCAGTGCGGCCACTCTAGGAGAGGAACCAAGAGGTCCAAGATGACTAAGTCCCTCTTCGGGTCCTGACCTCAGGTTTGGATTTAAATAGAGAGAAAAAGGCATACATAACTAAGAAGTCCCTATCGAGATGTGGCCCTGCCCACTAGTGGCCCAGCCCATCCTGCACAGTGACCAAACAGTTAACAGCACTGTGTGCAGTCTCTTCCTGGGAGACAAGATCTTCCTGGACAGCACCAGAATCTGCAATTCCTTGGGGCCCGTTGTTTGAACAGCCAGAGGGAGGGGCACAGGCTCTACAGAGAATCTCTCCTGCCAGGGTAAGTATGTCAAGTCACTCAGGAACATGGAAGAAAGGAAGAATCAGAAAACAGCCAGCAGAAGGGTAGCAGTGGGCTGCAGAGATGGCTAAGTGGTTAAGTGCACACACTACTCTTGCAGAGCAACCAGTCGCGTTCTAACACTCCTGACCGGTGGCTCACAACCACCTTTAATTCCAGCTCCACGAGGATCTGCTGCCCCTGGACTCTTTGAGCACCTTTACCCAAGCGCATACACAATACAATTAAAAGTAAATCTTTAAAAGTTTCTAAAGTGGGGCTAGAGAGACAGATTAGTGGTTACGAGCACTGGTTGCTCTTCCAGAGGAGAAATTCTTTCCTTTATAAGAGCTACTCTAGAGCTGGGCATTGGTGGCGTACGCCTTTAATCCCAGCACTCAGGAAGCAGAGGCAGGCGGTTCTCTGAGTTCAAGGCCAGCCTGGTCTACAGAGTGAGTTCCAAGACAGCCAGGCTGTTACAGAGAGAAACCCTGTCTCAGAAAAAGAAAAAAAAAAAAAACGGGAGCTGATGGGAGGGCTCAGGGGGTTCAGCACCTGCCGCACAAACAGGACAACTGGAGTTCAATCCCTTTTCCCACAGTGGAAGGAGAGCGCTACCTCCCTCTCTGCATGGCTCACAGCCATTTGTAACCCCAGCTCCGGAGAATCTGACACCCTCCTCTGTATTCTTTGGGCACCCACATATGCATTCTATAGTGCTCACACAAAACAGTAGTATTAAAATAGCAATGGACCATGATTACTTAAGGTCTACACATATATGGCTTTCTCTACTTTTTGTTTTTTGGGTTTTGTTTTGTTTTTCGAGATAGGGTTTCTCTGTATTGTTTTGGAGGCTGTCCTACTTTTTTTCCCTACTTTTCCCAACTATAAAGCTGATTTTTAGGGCTCTGGCAAGAAATTTCAGTAAAAAAGAAAACAAAAAGAAAAACAAGTCTTTGCCTTAAGTCCTTCATACAACCCTGTGACTCATGGCTTTATTTATTCATTGGCTTTTAAAGATTCAGCTACCAGCCAGTTGCAGTTGCACACGCCTTTAATACCAGCATAGGGGATGGCAGACACAGGTGGATCTCTGTGTGTGTTAAGGCCAGCCTGGTCTACAAAGTGAGTTCCAGGACAGCCAGGGAATTACATGGTTAGCCTTCCTTCCTACCTCTCAAAAACAAAACGAAGTTTAGTTACCAACATCTCTAGCTTCACCTGTGGGATTTTTGGGATTTTGTGTGTGTGTGTGTGTGTGTGTGTGTGTGTGTGTGTGTGTGTGTGTGTGTTTTGGTTTTTTGAGACAGGGTTTCTTAGTGTAGCCTTCTAGACCTAGTTGGCTTTGAACTCCCAGAGATCTGCCTGCGTCTGCCTCGCCTATCCTGGGATTAAAGGTATGCAGCACCATCACCAGGTTTCTCCTGTGGTTTTATCTTATCAGGTTATGTGGTGAGAATGGAATGGAATGGCCCCCAGTTAGTGGAACTGTTTGAGAAGGATTAAGAGGGGTGGCCTTGTTGGAGGGGGTACGTCACTGGGGGTGGTCTTTGAGGCTTCAATTCCACACCATTACCTGTCAGCTAGCTCCCTCTCTGCCCCGTCTGCCTTGTGCTTGTGGATCAGATCCGAGCGCTCAGCTACTGCTCCAGTGCCATGTCTGTCTCCTGCCACCGTGATTGTGCCATGGTGACAAATTTATACTCTGGAACTGTAAATATCCCCCAACAAATTCTTTCTTCTATGAGTGGCCCTGGTCATGGTGTCTTACCACAGCAATAAGAAGTAACTAAGACAGGTTACAATTCTTTCCATGATATCCCCAGAGTCATCTACAAAATCGAGTAAAAGAGAAAAAGTTTCTTAGCAACCCTTGACAGGTGGTGTTCAGTCTACCCCAATTGCATAAATGGCAACCACTCAGAACCTTAAATTTGGCTCTCCTTGGACCTGCCTTATTCTTTTCCTGAGCTTTTGTCCTATTAATAAACTTCCCTCCACACCCACCCCCTTGCTTAAATCTACCTAAAAATCTTTAGCTCACTTGGGAGAGCACTTGCTGCCTGGGTTTGGCACCCACTGCTGTGTAAAGTTTGCATGATGAGAGGAGTCTGCAATCCCAGCACTCAGGAGGTAGAAGCAGGAAGATGCAGTTCAAGCTCATCCTTAGCTACATAATGATGCTTCAGATCAGCTAGGCTACATAACACCCTGTCTCAAAACACAAAATAACAACAAAATACAGTTAGGGGTGGGATAGCAAGACGGCTCAGCAGGCAAAGGCACTTGCTGCCACTCCTGAGAGCCCAGAGACCTGACTTCCAGGAGTTGTCCCCTGATCTTCACACATGGACTGTCTCAGGTGTTTGAATACAGTCCCCATCTGCTATCTGTTAAGGGAGGGTTAGAAGGTATGGCTTTACACCTTTAATCCCAGAACTCAGGAGACAGAATTAGGCAGATATCTGTCGGTCCAGGCCAGCCTAATCTACCGAATTCCAGGATAGACAGCGCTACATAGTGAGACCAGGCTGGGGTCCCCCCAACCCAGCATAGGGGGGATGGGAGGTGGCCTCACTGAAGGAAGTATGTCACTAGGGTTGGGGTGTCCTTCTGTATATATGATTCTCTTACTGGTTGATGATAAAACACTGACTGACCAGTAGGCAGGCAGAAAGTATAGATTGGGCTACCAGACGAGGAGAATTTTGGGGAGAGGAGGCAGAGAGGAGCTGCCAGAGAGATGCCATATAGTCGCTGAAGGAGTAACAGGGTCCAGGCATTCTCCAGTAAGATAAAACCATGCAGAAATACATAGATTAGTAGTTATAGGTTAACAATTAAGAGAGAACTAGTCTGTAAAAAACCTGAGCCATCAGCCAAACAGTTTATATAAGTCTCTGTGTGTTTATTTGGGGCTAAATGGCAGCGGGACCAAGTGGGAAAGAAACTCTGTCTACAGTGGACCCTGAGGTTTCAAAACATTCATACCACTTCAAGGGTCTCTCTGTCTCATGCTTGCAATTTGAGATGGGAGTTCTCAGCCATTCCTGCCACTATGATTTTTATGATATTTTGCTTGTGTTCTGACAAAGCTAGATTGGAGTAAGAGGGTTGAGCCAGCCACTAGCTAACCATAGAGGTGTGGAGGACTGTAGAGAGAGGACAGGAAGTGGTAAGGCAGGGCTGAGACAGGGTCTTAGTTCTTTTGGTCAGAGGAACCAGAGAGGTAGGAAGCAACTGTGGCTCCCCTCCTCTGATTTTTTTGGGGTTTTTAACCTGATATCTGACTCCTGGTTTTTCTTGATAAGATTAATGAGATTTAGGCTTCACCACGATACCTTCACTCTCACCAGGCTGTCATTCAGCCATCATGGACTCTACCCCTCTGGAACTGTAAGCCCAATTAAATGCTCTCTTTTTAAGTTGCTTTGGTCATGGTGTTTTATCCCATCAACAGGAAACTAACACTGTTGTGGTGTGTGTTGATGTGCTCAAAAGCAAACACACACAATGGTAGAAACAGAGTCTCACTGTGTATCCTTGGCGGGCATAGAACTCACTATGTAGAACAGACTGTCCTTGAACTCAAGATCCAACTGCCTCTACCTCTGTCTCTGCTGGGGTTAAAGGTGTGGGCCACCAGGCCCAGCCTCATAATAGCTTAATTTTTCATAGCTCCAAACTGGAAATAATCCAATCACATACCAACAAGTGATGAGATAAACAATGTAGGGTATGACAAATAATGAAATAAATTGGCCCCTGAATCCTTCAGCTGCTTAAAAAAAAAAACAACAAAAACCAAACACATGGCTGGCTCAGCTCACAAAAGCACTAGCCACGCACCCAGTGACTTGGGTAAATGGTGGTGTACACCCACAATTCTGGCACTCCTGCAGTGACAGAGGGCAAAGACAGAATTGCCTAGAAGTCAGTGGGCCAGCTGACCTGGGGTGTTAGCACAGCTGTGGAAACAAAAACCCCTCCTTCAGCAAGGTGGAAGGGGACCCCATTGTTGAAACTTGTTCTTATACACAGGGGCTGGACATGTGCACACACAATTTAAAAAAAAAAAAACCCCAGGCAGTGATGGTGCACGCCTTTAATCCCAGCATTTGTGGGGCAGAATTAGGCAGATCTCTGAGTTCCAGGCCAGCCTGGTCTACAGGGTAAATTTCAGGACAGGCAGAGCTACACAGAGAAACCCTGTCTTGAAAAACCAAGTAAGAAAAATTTAAAATTAAATGTAAAGAAGTGCATATGCTCTAGCACACATATGTGCACACACATTTGGAGTAGTTGTTACGTTTTTGTTTTTTTGGTTTGAGACAGATCTCTCTATTCTATGGTCTGGGGGTGGGGGTGGGGCAGGCTCCTGTGTCACTGGATACTTGACAGAGTACTTGCCTGGCATGCATGAGGCCCTGGGCTCAACCCTTAGTGCCAATCCACATCCACCACCAAATAAAGAAACACCAAAAAGAACACAGCTCAGCCAGTCCCCGCCACTCTAGGTTTTAGTGTGAGAGTTTTTTTCTCCTCTGGATGCTGCCACAGCATCCAGATGCTGTATCTATGCCTCGATCCGTTTCATCTGGAAACCTGTGGAGTTCTTGATCTGACTTGCAGAACTGTGAGTGTATTCATTAGTTTTGCAATTCTTCTAGTTGTGTCTATGATTCTATTGTCATGCACATATCAAAAGCTCCACACTTCACTTAGAATTGCTGCAACAGTTCACTTAATTTCATGAAGACCTGTAAGAGTGTACATAAGGAATGGGAGCAAATAGCTTAGTAGCAACTTGTCTTCTTGTTGAGTTATTTTTTGAGTCATGAGCTCACAAGTCCGTGCAGCTTGGGCTTTGCGACAGAGGCCTGTGATCTCAGCACTTAAAAAGGCTGAAGCATGACCAAGAATTCAAAGCCAGCTTGGGCTAAGGAGTGAGACCCTGCCTTTGGCAAAGAAAAAAAAAACACAAACAAACAAAAACCCCAAACAACCAGACAGCCTCCAAATGTGAATACTCTGAGTACTAGTTTACTCTGCTCTGGCTGTTACATAATAACCGAGGATAATGAAGGTGAAGACTGACGGTTGCACTTTTTTTTTTGACAGTTGCACTTTAAATGATAGGCGGTTCAACAGACTGACTTAGCAGAAATTCCTCTGATGAATTATTAACTTATGATAGCCTCCCTTTAGAACTTGGGAAATTGTTGACTGAGGCTAGGCGAGGTTCCCTTTCACTTCCTTAAAAAAAAAAAAAAAAGGACGTGGGTGGGGTGCAGTGCAGAGAGGGAAAGGGAAAATAAATTAGGATACGGGGTCTCAGCAGCCTTATACCCCCGGGTGCTCTAACCCACACAGGGACTCTTCTCAGGAAAGACTTGGGTGGCTGGGTGCAAGGACACACTGCTCATAACAAACCGCAGCAGGAAACTCCCTGCAGCCTCGAGACCAAAGGAAGACCAGGCAGGACCAGATCGGAATTAAGGCTGCCACCTTCCGAGGGAGAAGCAGCAGACAGCCCAAGGCAAGTGCGCACCAAGATGTGCCAATTTCTGCCTGGGTAGGGTGGGGTGGGATGGGAGATTAGGGTTTTGTTTTTCAGCTCGGTGGCGGCCGCCTCCTTCTTCCCTGATTGGCTCTGGAGCTTGGCCCGGAGCCTGCGCCCTGCTTCTCTAGGGGACTGCTCCAGGCCGTGGCCCTTTCTCCTCCGCTGGGCCACCGCGATGACGCTCCCCATCCTGGTCCTCCGACTGGTCGTGGGCATCCTGGCATTTCCCATGTATCTGCTGAACCTTTTAGGAGTGTGGAACTGGATATGCAAAAGGTGTTTTCCCTACTTCCTGTTGCGATTTACGGTGATTTACAACGAGCAGATGGCGAGCAAAAAGAAGGAGCTCTTTAGCAACCTGCAGGAGTTCGCAGGCCCCTCGGGGAAGCTGTCGCTGCTGGAGGTGGGCTGCGGCACCGGGGCCAACTTCAAGTTCTATCCCCCCGGGTGCAGGGTGACCTGTGTCGACCCCAACCCCAACTTCGAGAAGTTCTTGTTCAAGAGCGTCTCAGAGAACCGGCAGCTGCAGTTCGAGCGCTTCGTGGTGGCGGCCGGCGAGAACATGCACCAAGTGGCCGATGGCTCTATGGACGCGGTGGTCTGCACCCTGGTGCTGTGCTCGGTGGAGAACCAAGGAAAGATTCTGCGCGAGGTGTGCCGTGTGCTGAGGCCGGTGAGTGACAGATGAGGACTGGCTCATAACAGCTCTCACGAGCAAGGGTGGTCCGGTCAATCTCGGGAAGTTTTTTGTTTTTTTGTTTTTTAAAGAAAAGAGTGGCAGAGAATTACAACGGTAAGGGCTGACAAATCAGAATTCAGCCCTGCAGTCAGCTAGTGCTACACACTGAGACCCTGTCTCAAAAAACAAAACCAAAAATTAACAAGTCACTAAAGACAATGGTTTTGATTTTTAAAACTGATCAGGGTAAATAAAAATCAAAGATGAGCAACTGGGCAGGAACAGGAATAGGAATTAAAATAGCCATTATATGAGAAAGACCTATAAATTACAGCTAGATGCCATTTTTACCAGTGACTCTGTCGGAGTCTTATAGTTTTAGGTCCTGGGGTGGATCTGTGAAGGGTCCCTTCATAGGGGAAGTTTTTTGGTTTTTGGTTTTTTGTTTGTCAAGACAGGGTTTCCCTGTGTAGCTTTGGAACCTGTCCTGGAATTAGCTCTTGTAGACCAACCAAGCTGGTCTCGAACTCACAGAGATGCGCCTCCCTCTGCCTCCCAAGTGCTGGGATTAAAGGTGAGCATTACCACCACCCAGCATGGGGAGGATTCTGAAGGCACATTTAATACCAAAATGTCAAGTGAACATAATTTCATCTACTAGAAACTTGTCTTCAGATATACACATATAAAAACTTTTCCACCGCAAGGACAGCCATTAAAAGAGCATTAGTGAACCGGGTGTTGGTGACACACGCTTTTTATCCCCTCGAGAGGCAGAGGCAGCTGATCTCTGTGAGTTCGAGGTCAGCCTGGTCTACAAGAGCTAGTTCCAGGACAGCCTCCAAAGCCACAGAGAAACCCTGTCTTGAACCCCCCCCCCCAAAGAAAAAGCAGCATTAGTGGAAACTGGAAAAAACCTGCTGTGGAGGGCAGATTGTCACATAGTGTTAAAAAGTTCAAGAGCTGGGTGTGGTGGGACACACACATAAACCCAGCAATGGTCAGTGTGTCAGAGGCTGAGGGGGAAGGAAGGCAAGCCCCGCTGTGCAGTAAGCTCAAGGTCAGTCTCAATTATATAGCGAAACTATACAAAACCAAAAGCAAAAGCAAAACACTGGTGAAAAATTAAAAACAAATAAACAAAAAGACAAAAAAAGCTGAGCGGTGATGGCGCAGGCCTTTAATCCCAGCACTCGGGAGGCAGAGGCAGGCGGATCTCTGGGTTCGAGACCAGCCTGGTCTACAAGAACTAGTTCCAGGACAGCCTCCAAAGCCACAGAGAAACCCTGTCTCTAAATAAATAAATAAATAAAATCCTCCAAAAAGAGTGATGTATGCTGAGCAGGAAAAAGAAGAGTGCCCAAGAAATGCTAATAGGTTCGTACGAAAGATAGAATGCACAGTCACAGGCATTTCCTCCAGGGAACAGGACCGGGTGCAGGCAAGAGCAATGGTCCATTCTCCCTGTCTTTCTAAAAGTTCAGAGAAATTCCTTATACTTGCGATTATCGGGTTAAGTGGGTTACTTAGAACAAAGCTGAACATGAAGGGAGGCGGTCCTAACTCATTCAGTTGGGAACACATAGGGATGTTCCGTGAGCCCTTGTAGTTCCTTGGGAGAAAGTCTTGGAGGCTCAGCTCAGCATGGTCTCTCTGGCTCAAGGACAGGTGGATATCACCAGCAGGTAAAGATCCATAGGCAGACCTGTTCATGTCTCCTCGGTGCAAGGCAGACATAGCCTCAGATGTCTTCCTTATCTCCTATGGTTACCAGCTCACCAGTTGCTGGATAGAACCTGGAGCATTATGGCAGCCTCAGTTTACCTAATTATATCCTCTCAAACAGGTACTTATGATTGTTGCTTTGGAAAAGACGTTTAGAAACGCACCCAAGTTATACAGCAATGGGTTTAACTTTTTTTTTGAAACCAGGTCTCATTCTCAGTAAATAGTGGTAGGCTGGTCTGAAACTCTGTAAGTAGACTAGGCTGGCCTTGAACTCAGATTTGCCTACCTCTGCCTCCCAAGCACTGATTTTTTTTTTTTGTTTGCTTGCTTGCTGTTTTTGGTTTTTCCAGACAAGGTTTCTTTGTATAAAAGCTCTTGCTGTCCTGGAACTTGGTCTATAGACCAGGCTAGCCTTAAACTCAGAGAGATCTGCCTGCCACTGCCTACCTAGAGTTGGGATTAAAGGTGTGAGCCACCACTACCTGACCCAAGTACTGGATTAAAGACATGCACCACTGCACCCCGCCCAGGTCTAGCTCTTCAGTGAGAATAACTAGCTCTTCAGAGCTGCTTGTCATGTCCGGACTCTATCATTTCTTCCCCTTTGCTGTCCCTAGACACTGAGGGTCCCTTCCTTGGCTCACCTTCCGGGCATATATGATTCCCAGTGGTCTGATTCCCCAGTGTTTCCAGCTGATTTCCAAATCTCAGCACCCATCCAGACATTGCTCTGCACCCCCACCCCGCCCCGTCATGCTCCTGGTTTATTCACCGGCATACCCAAACCAACTGGTCTCTCTGCTTTCCCTCCAGTCTCCGCCCGAGCTCAAGGAAATGACATGTTTTTGTTTTTCATTTTTATTAGGAAATTCGGCTTCCTATTCCTAAATATATGTTTTACTTGAATTCATCTGTATAATTTCAGATAACTACATCCCTAAATGCTGAATTCCCTACAACTCCGCCTTTGGGTGGCCAGGACCAGAATGGCTTGAGGAGGAGGCCGACAAAGGGGGGGCAGGTTTCTTTCTTTTCTAGGAAACGCACGGAGGTTGCTTAGTAATGTGCACCTAACATGACCTACTTGGGCTACAGATGACAATCAAAGTTCAGGTCCTCCTAAGGGCAATATTGCTTACCATCACTGGCTGAATAAAACCTAAGGATGAAATGCTGCCCCGGGGGTCATTTGCATTAGGAATGAAATAACAAAGTCTTAACAACTCAGTTCGGACTATGGAGCGCCTCCTGTAGGTCCCTGCTCTCCCTCACAGCTGCTATGTTCCCAGAAGCTGCAGCCAGTGCCTGGGAAAGTACTGGATTAAAACGTTTTTTTAAGGATAAGAGTAGAAGGCAGGTGTGGTAGAACACACCTGTAATGCCAGCTCTAGGGAGGCGGAGGCAGGAGGATTGGGAGTTCAAGACCAGCAGTGAGCTAGCTCAGCCGGTAAAGCCCCCTCATCAAGTCTGCTGCCCTGAGGTCAAAGTCCCCTCCCCCCCATCAAGTCTGCTGCCCTGAGGTCAAAGCCCCCTCCCCCCCCATCAAGTCTGCTGCCCTGAGGTCAAAGCCCCCTCCCCCATCAAGTCTGCTGCCCTGAGGTCCGAATGGTGGAAGGAAAGAACACATATGTACACACACACACACACACACACACACACACACACGTTTTTACACTCAAGACTAAATTAACGTCATGAACATTTTAGACAGAAAGAGATACTGGGGGTTAATTCAGTCGTGAAAGATTCATACAACAAACATATACACCCAAACCCAACAACTACAAAGCAAAGTTGTATAGAAGTAACAACAAATATAGAAGCAACAGAAACCTGGCATGTTTTATTCAGTAAACTTTTTTATTTTCCAAGACAGGGTTTCTCTGTGGAACAGTCCTGGCTGTCCTGGAACTCACTCTGTAGACCAGACTGGCCTCAAACTCACAGAGATCTGCCTGCCTCTGCCTCCCGAGTGCTGGGTTTAAAGGTGAGCAGGAGCACCACTCAGTAGATAAGTGTGTTTTATATGAGTGTTCACGTGTATGTGAATGCACATGTGTAAAACTCTGTGTAGCGGTCAGAGGACAACTTATGGATGTCACTTTTTAGAGGCAGTCCTCACTTTTGAGACAGAATCTCTTACTGATTGGAACTCAACAAGTTGGCTAGGCTGAATGACCAGTGGGTCTCAGAGATCTGCCTGACTCCTCTGTTCTGGAATTAGTGTGTGGGTGTGTGAATGTGTGCACATACTTGTGTAGTGATATATTATTTATAATTTATTAAAGCTTGACTGAGGATTCAGAAAAGCAAAGTCACCCACAAGCCTTAGAAGCCAGGCACACACCTTTAATACCAGCAGCCAGAAGCTAGGAGGTGGTGGTACACACCTTTAATCCTAGGACTCAGGGTTAAGAGGTAGACAGAGTTCTCTGAGTCCAAGGCCACACAGATCTACACAAGAGTGAATCAGTCTAAAAGAATTATAGCTCACACCTTTAATCCCAACATTAGGGACGTATAGAAGGCAGAAACTAGTGTTCAGGGAGGCATTTGTTCTGCAGCCACACTGAGGAGAGGCAGGAGTTTGAGACTTGGTGAAGAGCTCATGCATGGATCAGCCCTTTCAGCCTGAGGTAGAGGGGAGAGCTGGTGGCTGGCTGCTTTGCTTTTCTGATATTCAGCTTGAATCCCAGTATCAGTCTCTGGGTTTTTTTATTTATTTGTATTACACACATGTGTGATATGCAGACAACAGTCATTAAACTTTGGAGTCTTTCTCCAGAGAGAGAGAACAAGAGTCTATAGAAGCCAAGTGGGCAGCCTGGTCTACAGAGTGATTTCCAGGACAGCTAGGGCTACACAGAGAAACCCTGTCTCCAAAAACCGAAACAAAATAAAAAACATTTATCTTTAACATTCTTAGTAGATATAACATCTTTTACCAGAAAACTTGAATATTTGGGTTCCTTTTAAGTCTTTCTGTTGATATCCACTCTTGTTTTGCTCATGGAAATAACTGCTGATTTTCCCTTAATGATTAGTTGTTTTATTACAATATGATTATATTAGCTGGGTGCCCTATGCCTCCCACCTGTTGTCCCAGCGCCAGGGCTGGCAGAGACAGGAGATCAAGGTCAGCCAGTACACATAGTATCTTATAGGCCCATGGCATTGCAGGAAGAGACCCTCTTCCTGTGTCCAGCACCAGGACTGAGGAGGGTTCTAGTGTAAACGTGATCCAATTTTTCTACAAGGCAATTTTTTTTTTTTTTTTTGGTTTTTCGAGACAGGGTTTCTCTGTGGCTTTGCAGGCTGTCCTGGAACTCGCTCTGTAGACCAGGCTGGCCTCGAACTCACAGAGATCCGCCTGCCTCTGCCTCCCAAGTGCTGGGATTAAAAGCATGTGCCACCAACGCCCGGCTTCTACAAGACAATTTGAAAACACCTTCTACCAAGGTGTTTTAAAAGGCACTCACCACTGACTCAGTCCCACTTTTTTTAATTATTTTTTTATTTTTAGTTAATTTTTTATTGTGTACCCCTTGGTGCTTTGCCTGCATAGGCATCTGTGGGAGGGCATAACCCCTTGGTACTGGAGTTACAGACATTGTGAGCTGCCATGTGGGTACCGGGAACTGAACCTGAACCTGGGTCCTCTGGAAGAGCAGCCAGTGCTCCTAACCTCTGAGCCATCTCTCCAGTCCCAGAAGCGCAATTTTCATCGCATAAATATCCTTTGATCCATATGTAGTTCTTTTCTGGATGATAGAGTCCATTACTTTAGAATCACGAATCCGTTCTCATACAGTTTCAATTACAGCAGCAATTTCCTTGAACTGTCTGTAGAAATTCTGAAACTGTGGAATTGTCATTTTGATGGACTTGCTGTTTACTTGGCCAGAATGGTCGGCCACTTTTAGCATCACCGCCACATACGGATACTTGAGCGATCTGCATTGGTCAGAGCTCACAGCCATGCCCAGTTTCCACTGGAAATCTATAAGCTGGCAGGTGACCTCGGATTTGGCATCCAGCACCGGTTCCCTGAGCGGCGGAGACTCCGCCATGGCCAGACAGGAAGTCGCCGGCACGGGACCGGCCTCAGTCCCACTTTTTAACAATAATCTGTTTGGCAGTTATTAAAGGTGCTTTCAAACTTGGTTAACCTTAATGCTTATTACAGGGGAAAATTGGGAAGAGCCTAACAAATACAAAGTAAAGTAAAGAAGGTTATGAACAATGTGTGGTCCATACTTAATTTTAGGAAAAATTGCCAATTTACATGTAGCAGGATAGTGGCTTGTTTTCTTTCCCTCTTTTTCTGTTTATTTTTAAAGCTATTTATATGTCTGTGCATATCTGATTGAGTTATATACACCACGTGTGTGCCCGTCCATGGAGGCCAAAGAACATTGGATCCCCTGAACTGTGATGTAGGCACAGGAACTGAATCTGGGTCTCCTGCAAGAGCAGCAAGCTCTCTCAACCTCTGAGTCATAGCTCTAATCCTTTTTTGTTTTTATGACAGGGTCTCGTGTAGCCTGAATTGGCCTCAAACTCGCTGTGTTGCTGAAAATGACTTTGAACTTTTTTTTCCCTGTGTATCCCTGGCTCTCCTGGAACTCACTCTGTAGACCTTGGCTGGCCTCAAACTCACAGAGATCTACCTGCCTCTGCCTTCTGAGCACTGGGATTACAGGCGTGTGCCGCCGCCGCCCAGCAATTTAGAACTTTTTTTTTTTTTTTTTGGTTTTTCCAGACAGGGTTTCTCTGTATTGTTTTGGAGCCTGTCCTGGAACTCTCTTGGTAGACCAGGCTGGTCTCGAACTCACAAAGATCCACCTGCCTCTACCTCAGCACTTGCTGGGATTAAAGGCGTGCACCACCAACGCCCGGCAACTTTGAACTTTTTATCCTCCTGCTTCTACTTCCCAAGGGCTGGAATTACAGATATGTGCCATGACTTGGCTCTAAAACATTTCTGTTTTAAATGTTGCTGAGAAAGTTCTGGAGTCACATACTGAGGTTTAGAATTCCTTTCTGACACTTACAAACTGTCCCCTTGGACTCTGTTCCCTCTCGGGTTAAAAACAGTGACGTGCCAGGCATGATGGCACATTTCCTTTAATCCTAGCAGTCAGGAGGCAGAAGCAGATGGATCTCTCACTTTAAGGCCAGTCAAGTTGCACAGTAAGACCCTGTCTCAAAAATAAAACAAAAACAGTGGCAGTAATAAAAATAGCATTGCCTGTGTTGTGTGACAGTGTCTATGTAGACCACACTGACCCCAAACTAACTACAGTAAACCAGGCTGGCCTCAAGCTTGCAGCAGTCCCCTACCCCACTGGAGTGCTGGGTGACTTTAGGTTTGCTCTGCTACAAATAACCCTGTTGAGAGAATGAGCGTAGTCAGGGTAGGCTACACTAAGCACTTTTTGTTTCCGTGATTATGAATTCTCTATGACCACATAAAATATCTATCTACTGCTTAGATTATCAGCTCAGTTTGAAAAGCTCTGCTTGAAGACAGGGTCCCACTGTGACTGGGCCTGTCACTTCAGATCACCCTGCCTTAGCCTCTCTGGTGTGGGGTTATAGTCATGGGCTATTGTGCCCAGCTAACGCTGTACAAAATGTGCCCGAGATTCAAACTCCATTACCCAGGTCATACCTTGCTCCAGTCCAGCCCACCAGTGTCTTCTCAAAACTGGCCACAGGTCACTGAAATTTGAAACTGCACATGTCTTGTAAAGCTATTTCCCTAAAACCAGTGTCTTTAAAATGTGTGTGTGTTTTCTTTCTCAGGGAGGGGCTTTTTACTTCATGGAGCACGTGGCGGATAAGCCATCCACCTGGAACTACTTCTGGCAACAGGTTCTGGATCCTGCCTGGTACCTTCTGTTTGATGGATGCAATCTAACGAGGGAGAGCTGGAAGACCTTGGAGCAGGCCGGTTTCTCGAAGCTGAAGCTGCAGCATATCCAGGCTCCGCTGTCCTGGACTTTGGTGCGGCCCCACATCTATGGGTACGCTGTGAAATAGTGGGAGGTGGCAGGAGAGACTTGAACGGCTGCAACGGTTCACGGCTTCAGTTTTAGGTGTAAAATTCTAACTGGGAGAGGTGAAGTCCAATTCATCCTCGCAGGTTTCTGTTTAACCATTTTCTATAGTATCTCCCACCAAATCAGAGCAGCTTTGAACTCCCCTTCAGAGGGACCAGTGGTCTTTGATTAATCATTGATAATGAAGCAGAGGGAAACTAATAGCTTGCAAACCAAATAAATAAATATCAGCTAAGTGAAAATCCAATGTCTGACCAAGACAGAAAATCCTCCCCTGGAGAATGAAATCTGAACCCCCTTGCTGCCTTCATGTCTCTGGTCTGGCTTCCGCTGCCATGGTGTCCCTGGCCAGCAACTGTCTTTTGGTTCAGGGTTTCACCAAATCCTGCTGCACTATGCCCAGTTTTTACAAGTGCACCTGATATACCATTGTCACCACAGAACTATACACTACAGTCGGGATTCTTCGTTAATTTCTTATCTATCACGTACTTTGCTGAACACAATAGACTCTAGGCAGTGAAAGGGCCCACTGTGGTTAGGGAAAATTGGTACACTATGTGGGGGACTCTAAAAGCAATCTGCAAGTTTATTCAGCAAGGCCTGGGGGGATTATTCTGACCAAATTCCTCTGGTCTACAGAGTGAGCTCTACGGTACAGAAAAAAATTTGAAAAACCCAGGGGAGGGGGAGAGGCGAAGGAAGAGAGGGAAAGAGAGAGAGAGAGAGAGAGAGAGAGAGAGAGAGAGAGAGAGAGACAGAGAGACAGAGAGACAGAGAGAGACAGAGAGAGAGACAGAGAGAGAGACAGAGAGAGAGAGAGAGAGAGAGAGAGAGAGAGAGAGAGAGAGAGAGAGAGAGAGGGAGAGAGAGAGAACCATGGACATCATTGTGTACCTACTGAAAGTGTGTCTGGGTGGGCCTATTGGAGGGTTTCAGCTAGTTTTGTATGTATCTAAACAAATGCATATTTTCTGAGATGATTTTGCAGAAGTCCTATTTTGAATATCAAATCAATAAATTCATATTCATTTAAGGAATGGAAGTAAAAAGTTTCTACACTTGCTGACTTGGCTTCATTTGTGTCTTAGCGTCTCTAAGGAGGAAATGTCCCCTTAGACAATTAAGGGGATGCATTTGAACATACGGGTGTATATTTCTGCAGCCAGGTATGATGTACAACATACAAGGGATGGTCTTTGATACTATGACTGAAGTGGGAGGGGCTTGATCTGGCTTACAGTTTGAAAGCAGACAGTCCTATGAGGGGGAGATATCCTGGTAGGAGCATGGACAGCTTGTCACATCTCACAGTCAGGAACTTGAGAATGGACAGCACTAGGACTAGACCATAAAAATCCAAGTGACTCACTTCCTTCAGCAAGTCTTCCAAAGCAGCCATTTTTTAAATTTATTTTGGTTGTGGTGCTGTGTTAGGGATTGAACCCAGGGCATGCCAGGCAAGGCTATGCCACTGAGCCAGGCTCATGTCCTAGGAGAAGAATTTTGTGTTGGGGACTTTGTTTTAATACGGGTTCTCACTATGGATCATTGGCTGGCCTGAAACTCACAAAGAGCTGTCTGCCTCTGCCTCTGCCTCCTGAATGCTCTTCAAAGCCGTGTGCCACCACAGCCATCCAGAATGAGTTTTGAAAGGTCTGAGTCCAAGCATCCTGCTGGTGAACGCAGAGCAGGAAGAAGGCAGCTCATGGCTCTGCTGCTTGAACACAAAGTCAGTATTGGGGGGCTCAGTTGTCTCCCTCTACTCTGGAAGATGGGCACCTTCTCCCCTAAAATCAGCCCTTCCTTCACCCACACATCTTACTACGAGGTTATGCTGGTCTGATGGCGGAGATGCTTGCAAAGGCACGGGTGTACCTCACGAGGTACTCTTCGTGTTGGAAGGTGTCTTAGAGTTTCTATTGCTGTGAAGAGACACCATGACCATAGCAGCTCTTATAAAGAGACCATTTCATTGGAGGGGTTCCTTACATTTTCAGAGGTTCAGTCCATGATCATCATGGCGGGGAGCGTGGCTGCGTGCAGGCAGATGTGGTGCTGAAGAAGTTGCTGGGAGTCCTACATCTTGCAGACAGCAGGAAATGATCTGAGACACTGGGTGGTACCCTGAGCATAGGAAACCTTAAAGCTTGTCCTCTCAGTGACACACTTCCTCCAACCAGGTCATACCGACTCTAGCAAAGCCACACCTAATAGTGCCACTCCCTATGAGATTATGGGGGCAATAACATTCAAAGTACTACAGAAGGTAATACCCCAGTACAGAGGACTAGCTAAATCCTTGCCTGAATAGCATGGCACACAGCCTCACTTCTGCCATAGAGCAGTTAGGCTAGGGAGATACGAGGATGCTGGAAATGAGAACTCGGCTCCCCACTCTTGCACACTGAGCCATCTCCAGGTCTGAATTTCTTTATGTGGGCTCCTTCCATTTCAAGTAAATCCTGAATTATACTTTTCTATGTTACCTCAGTTTAATTCTCAGTCTCCTCTGGGACAGTAGTAAGATAAAGGGAGAATTTTTCAACCCCTATAATGTTATTTGTTGACTTTGCTCTTGAGCAAGCTACTTCTTTTTCTGTTTTTTTTATTTTGTTTTGTTTTTGAGACAGGGGTTCCCTATATAGCCTTGGCTGTCCTGGAACTCAATTTGTAGACTAGGCTGGTCTCAAACTCACAGAGATCCCCCTGCCTCTGAGTCTTAGTTTCCTCCCTCATCAGTAAATGGGGACATCTTCTATCTAAAGGGCTATGAAAAAGAAGCAATGGAATGCCAGGTGTGGTGGTGTACACATTTAATCCCAGAATCTGGGAAGCAGATCTCTCTGAGTTTGAGGCCAACCTAGTCTACATAGTGAGTTTTCCTTTCTCAAGACAAAAACAAAACAATGAAGTAATAATATATTTAATACATGCTGAAGTATTGTTTGAGACAGGGTCTCAATCTTCTTGCTGCAACCATCTGAGTGTGGGATCACAGGTCTGCCTCACCGTGCCCAGTGCTCATGTACACAACACAAGTAGACAGGCCGGCAGGCCCACACACATAGGGGGTACGTACATGCACGCACGCACGCATGCACGCACACACACTTTGATATTTTTTCTTGTGGTGCTGAAGGTTGAACCCTAGCCCCCCAACCCCCCACCCCCGCGCCTCCCGCTGATTTCTTATTTAACTGATGCTTAATATTGAGTACCTACTGTGTGTTCTACTCTTGAATAAGTTATGGAGCAACTGCCTCTCTAGCCATCTCTAAGACAATGCATAGATGCTAGGAAATGCTCTCCCATTGACCCAGGGCTTCTTTGAGATAAATTCCAAAGGATGGAGAGTATTTCATGCATGGGCCTCTTGGGCTACAGTTAAATGAAAGCAAGAAATTCATGTCCAAGAAAGTGAAGGCAACCCAGGCAAGATGTCTGAGTGGGCAAAGGTACTTGCTGCCAAGCTTGACAACAGAGTCACTTCCCAGAATCCATAGCGGAAGGAGAGCCAACTCCCGAAAGTTGCCCTCTGGCCTCTACACAGCAGGTGCATGCCCATAGGCAGATAAAGGAAGCAAGGTCATCAAGGCATAGTGGCACCACCTTAATCCTGGCACTTAGGGGGCAGATATAACATGGCCAGCCAGGGCTACATAATGAGGCTCTGTCTCAAAACAAAACAGGCAAGCAGGGCGAGGCGCCAGAACTCAAGGAAGGGCAGTTTTGTGCTCACAGCCATTCCCACAGACCTCTTGAGAGCGTAGGGCTGTGAACCTCAGAAGTATTTTGATGGACCACCCCCTACTTCCACCCCTGCAAACATTCAAATGTCCTATATTTATTCCCAGGTTCTGATGTTCTGTGTTCCTTGAGTTGAAAGGGAAGCAAACATTGCATAATTGTTCCTTTTGTACTCTTGGCCCTAGAGCCAGCCCTTCCTCTTAGTGTGGCTTTAAAAAGCACGGTGCTTAGCTGAAATTAAACTCCCGTTTGTCAGTTAAAGCAACTGACAGTGCAATGAGTTGTGGAACACTAATATCAACAAAAGCAAGAGAGAGAGAGAGCTAGTCACTTAATCTCGACATTTAAAACCCAACCTGGGCTGCATTAGAGACTCATAGGAATTTCCTAATGAGCTGTGCAGGCACAGGCTCCACCCTGTGCCAGAGAACAGGCAGAGGTCATGGTGACCAAGGGCCAAGGACCAAGACAGGTCACTGCACCCAATTCCTCAGTCAGTTAAAAAATAATAATAACGGTGACTAAGCAAAATAGTGTTTTTCTTCTAAAGAGAAACATTTGAGAGACTGGAGAATTACACTGGGATGTGTGTATAAACTCCAAAAATTATGGGTCAAAATGTGTCATTCCTAAAAGTAAAACAACAACAAAACCCTGTCCAGTATGGTGGCACAGTCCTAACTGAGGAAGAAAGATGGTGAGTCTGAGGCTAGCTCGGGCTACAGTGGACATTTAAAGCTAGACTGGGTTATAGAGCAAGACTCTGCCTAAAACACAAACAAAAACCCCAGGAGTCCGCCAAGCACCAGCACGCATGTCCATCCCGTGTGGACAGACCCTTCAATCCACGCCTCTAACAGCTGACAATGCAGATTTCCAGGCTCGGTGGCGTGCCTATAGCCTCAGCAGTGCTCGGGAAACTGAGGCAGAACAATGGCAACTTTGAGGCTAGCCCGGGCTACATGTCAATACTCTCCCTGCCTGAACACATTAAAAGTGCCTTTCTTTATACCACACAATGACTTCACCAACTTCCTGATTCTCTGACTCAAAGGCAGACATACTTACCCATTCCCCTCCTCCCTTTAGCCCCTACTCTGCTGTTAAGCTATAAACCACCGATGTCATCCCTGATCCAGACCCCACACTACACCACCTTCGGCTCTTCAGTGACCTGCAGTGACCCTGGGCGACAGGAGAAGCAGAGTCTTTTGGTCTAGATGAGGGCAACTGTCTCTGGTGGCAGACTATCGTGGAGCATGGGTAAGCTCCCAGAGAACAAGCTCCCGCTCCCACCCCAGGCAGTAACGGCCACTCTCTACCACTATGCAGAAACGAACAGACACAAGGCTCTACCGGACTAGACTGCCTTTACTTCCCTGCCCTACTCTTATTAATGTACGTGTGTGGGTGGGTGTTTTGCCTGCATGAATGGTACACCACATGCATGTAAGGCTCTCAAGGAGCCCAAAAGATGGTGCCAGACCCCCTG